AAAAAAAAAAAAAAAGTTAAATAGAAAGAAAAATTACGAAAGTCACAGCTATCTGGAAAAATAGACTAGGGAAATGAAGAATAATAAATGGGTGCATTAGTGAACTGCTTGATCCCAGAAGATCCAGAGAACATACCCCATTATAAACTCAATAAAAGGAGGGATTTCTAGGCAGCGAAGACACTAAAATAGTAGCAAATAGCTGAGGGAAAATATTTCAGCATGGGCTTAAACTGAAGATGTAAACCTACATTCTCATCAAAGCAATCTCTATCCACACCAGCTAGTCTACAGCCACATGGCCACATCAGTCAGCAATACAGTCAGCTCTTCAGTCACACTGCCTGCCATCTGCTCACTGTGTATCACAAGCAACAGCACATTTCCACTGACACGCTGCGTGGGTGCAGTCCCACAGCACTCGAGCCAACACAAGGTATGGCTGCCACGCCCCCCCGGCTATCTTGGCTGCACAGTCCTTGGCCATTTCATTGGGACTGGCACTGAAGTGATCACATCAGTTCAAGGAGCTGCTGTAGATGACAGCAAAGCAACTGGTTTTCCACAAGATCGGCTGCCTGAGCTGSCTTGCTGCGCTTGCTGGCAGCTTTGGCTGGAGGGAGGCACCAAAATGATGTGGCTAGCGTTATGAGGGTGGGGCTGTGACACACCTACATTGGCTCCAATTCCCATGAAATTCAACGTGTAGCAGCTAGCCTCAAATCAGATCTGACCTACACGCATGCTGGTTGCCCAGACCACAACCACTGATATCCAGAAGCCAGCACTGTCTTCAGGGTTAGGAATTTCTTGCCTGTTGGTTTCCTCTCAATGCTGATCCCATCTTAGTGCTGCCACAAACATAGGTATATGGTCATAGATGTGCTCCTTACAGAAATAAAAAACAAGTAGGGCTAATATGAGTAAGTTCTTTATCCTGTTTCTCTGAGCAACAGCACAAATGCACAAATCAGCAGACACTGAAGGCTGGACAGACCTTATCCTTTTGGCAGTAAGATGAATAAAGCYGCTTTAAAATTTATGTTTAGTTACATATGATATTCGCTTAGAAATCCAGAAGGGATTATCATAATTACCTACCTAGATAAAGATAATTACTCTGTAGTCAAACAAATGTGTTCTCAAAAAGAAAAATTCATGTATTGATGAGGTCATATCCTATAAAAACTTAGTTCAGTGATTGTCTAGCCTTTGAGATAAAAAAAAAAAGTGCTGGCTATTTGCCACTTCCAAGCATTGGACCTTGCATTACATTTGCTGAACTGAAAGTTCTGTCCTTCAAATTTGAGCAAGTCGCCCTCTAATCTTCCCTTTATCCTCTCAATCCTCTCACTATCGGGCTAATTTTCTAATTTTATCATCAATTTCATCACTTTTCCTTAGACTTCTGGAGTTCAAAAAATCACTGCTGAATTGGGGAAGCCAGAATTGAAAAGATTCTTGTCATAGCTCTTGTCCCAGGTAAAATGTCCTCTTTATGGGAACATTTTWCATTTACCATTACACTACAATAAAATAGCCAAACAGTCCTCACGATGCTTAATTATTTTTCAGAGTAAGTGTTTCAAGAGAGGTCTGTATTAGAAGAAGTCTCTTGATGTGGCTTTGCTTGTTCATTCCTCGACACAACAGCTTTACATTTGATTTATTGAAACAATAGTAGCTCTCTCTCAATCTTAATAGAAAGAGACAGACTGATGAAATGGCCTATTGCTCATGTGCTTCGAGGTGTTCCAGTAACCATCCATCCTGCAGTCCTACCAGTATAAGAATATGGGGGTTGTCCATCTGGACCAGCAGCAATACACCCAGAATCAGATGCTTCAAACAACAGTAAATGGCAGGAACAAAGAACTCTTTTCTATATATGATTTCTTGTCATCTCTAAAGTGTATAGACAGCCTTGAGCCCTCAGATGCAACATTCTCTACATGTAAATTAAGACAACGATGTATATTTTTTGCACCTCTATGTATTTACTAAGTTCTCAGAATTTAATTCAGGGCCATTCCATTTCTTTCAGTTAGTCYACGCGCAGTATGTTCCTCAGTTAAGTCATACCTTGTGTATGGAAGCATTTACTGTCGTGTTTCTCTCCATGTCCCGCCTTGCCATTTTACTTACTCACTCCTGTACTAGACAGAGACAGGTCCTGCCTCTCTAGAATTCCCATTTTCACATGGGAACTCTTCTGCACAGCTCTGCTAATACTAACAACAGCCGCTGCTTCCACTTAAGTGTCTTTTGAAAGACATGCAGTGTTGCTGCCCTAAGGAAGAACTCCTTTTCTTCAATTTGCTGTGAAAAGTTACATAAAAAGACTTAAAAATTGGTCTGAAGGTCCAAAGTATTTTTGTAACATGGAAAAATTGAAAATTACTGACTTCTCAAGTGTTTAAAACATGTCAGCTTTCACTATTTTTATCCTTTTTTGACTCAAATTATTGAGAACCATGCTCACATAAATAGACATGGCATTAATTTCCRTGATGATATAAACTTTGATGTACAGAGTTCTACACAGCTCTACACAGCAGAAGCGATTAATAGCAAAGCTTACAAAACTGCCACAAGCAGAAAGCTAAAAGGAAAAGTCAGAAAGCCATTAGCAGGAAGTCAGCAGATGCATCATTTAACTTACCAAACAAGCGCTGATGGAAGAGAAACTTTCCAGCTATCAGTCCTGTGAGAATGGCAAGCAGCCACAGAAACACCTTCAAAAACCTCCAGCCTCCTCCTTCAGGGTATTTATTTGTTACAAAGGAGAAACAATTACCAACAACAATAACATTGGCTTCTGTCTGGCTGTGAGATACTGGGTCCTCAGCAAATATTAAGAAGTTAAAGAAGATCACTAAGTAAGCCACGATTAAGCGAGACCACGGGTGCTGGAAGTAGTAGCGGAAGTCTTTATCCATCCTCAGATACTGAAGAACTGGTTTTTGCCTGTATGTAAAGAYACAAATGCATAATGTTATATGTACCCCAATTTCTCAGAGCTTAGGAGAGACCTGCACATTACAAAAATCAAATCATTACAACCTTATCATCAGTAATTCTTAACACATTAGACTTGACTAGCAATGAAAGTTTCGATCAAAATATATTGTTACATCCAGGAAGAGAAAAATGGTAATTTCTCCCCATTCCAATGTAAAAACAACAAACAAACATAAATGCATTATAGCACAGGATTTTTAGTCTCAAATATACTATTGCTTTCATGCCTCCTCCATAATGGGGCATGAGAAGAATGGAATGGATATAAGAACATGGCAGGCAACACAAAACCCAGGCCAGCATTCTACATTTCTACAGGAAATACAATACAGATATGACAAAGGTTCATGCTAAGCCTAAATGGAATCTTTTTCCTTGCCCCTAAGTCCAATGAGGTGTTCTACTGGAAGCTTAAAAGCATATAAACCAGAAACATCAGAAACTTGTTTTCATATGAAGGAAGATTATGTTCTATGAAAAGTTTCTAGAATTAATTATTGCAAGTCAGGCAAGTTTGTATAAATCTTTTCATTGACTTCAGGGAGTATACTTAAAGCTAAGCATATTTTCAAAGCCATAAAATAAGACAGACCTGAAAATGCATTATTTTCTATATGTCTTATTAGTTCTGTATGAATACAAAAATAGTATTTTGAAACCTGCCTAGTTTTTATGGAATGCTATGGAAAAATGCAAATGAGTATGGTTAACATCTCAGTTGTTTGCCATTTGATTTCTTTTTCTTTTATTCACAACCAATTAGTCGTTTCATCCTCTTGAACCGCTTTGTATGCACAAAGATACAAGGCCTTTGTGTTGTGGAACACCGCAGTTATTCAAGCGACAGAGAGTGTAGGAAGAAAAGAAAAATGTGTCTAATAATATTGCTTGTTTATTACAGCACGATCCTTGAAGGATACAGTGACAAATTTTTGCAAATGTCATATGCCCTGCAACAAAAAAAACAAAACAAACAAACAAAAAACACCCCACAAAAGATCTAAACTCTATGATCAGTTATTCACCCCTTCTTGAACTTCTAACTTAGGACTTGCAAAATGAGAAATGGCATTAATTTAAATTTCTCCCTTTAGTTATTCCCTCCAAAATTATTTAGCTCTATAATCCGATTTATATTTGTAAAATTGCAAGGAATTCTGTACCTATTAAATGGAAAGGATAAAAGAATCTCTCGGCAGACTGATACAATGCATTCAATATATCATAGAAAGGAATAATGCCCTGTTATGCATAAATTACATACGAAGAGGAAAAAAACCAGCACATTACAGAGTTAAAACGTGAGCACAAGGAAGTGTCAATCCTTCAGAAACTTTATGAAAGAAGTGATTTAAAGTAAGGGTGTTGCCTAAGAAAATACCACTCTGGGATGATTAAACTGYCTTTAGAGCCACATGGATGCCCAAAGCTATTTCTGGTTCTCCTTTCTGTTCCCGGTTAGAAAAGTTTTGTTATTTCTTTATGTCTATGAACCATCTTGAAGCCCGAATGGGGCTGGAGATAAACAACTACATGTCCCGGTATTTTTGACAGCTGCCGGATACCCGAGAGTTATCAGACACCCAGCTGAAGACGCGACTTCCTAGGAAGCATTTCATAGCATCAGAAGCCAACATTAGCAATAGCAGCAGTGCCAAATCTCTAACAAAAATCCTGCTCCTACCTGCCTCAACGCCAAAAACGCGGGTGCCAAGAGCGCGGCGGACCACACGCCCATCGCAACCTGTTAAATGCGCCCATTTACCCCCGCCCCCGGCGCAGACCCGGCGACCCGCTGCCGCCCTACCCCGAGCGGCCGCTGCGGCCGCCGCCGCCCGCCGGGCACCGG